TTACTTTATTTAATTACTTCCTGTTATTTATGTTGCAGGCTGTAAAATTGGAAAATCCTTTCACAATTTCTATGAGCTCCACGTGAATTATTATCATAAAAGACAGGGAATACTGCATATGTTGACAGCTTAGAACCTGGAACAAAATTATTGTGTATTTTGGCTTAAAAATGACAAACGTGTTTACTTGATTATTAGGACATAAGTCTATTCGTTTGTGATGTTCGACTACTTGATTAATCAACCATTTTTTGGCTTAGCGCTACAAAATGCCGCAAAAACATCAGCAAAGACGTCAAAATAAAGACAAACCTGAGTTGTTTTGACTGTGAGATAGTTGCATATTAGTGTGCTGTGGTTGCTCGCTGCTGTTTCTCTGACTAACAGAGGACAACACTTCTCAGCTGCTGCTCTTGAACGTCGCTCAGCACTTATGTTAATGAACATAAGTGCTTCCGTCACCGAGTTTAGGCGCCAAATGTTTAACTTTACGGGAGAAGTTTGGATTAGTGAGGAGCCCGCTGCTGCTTTGGACTGAATAGTTCACTTAATTAATTTGCACCCATTCGCCGTCAACGTGTTTTTCAGCAGAATGATTGGACAGAAAACCATTAACTCGTTTTTTTCGCCGGTGTCCAAGAAACGGACCTCTTCAGAGTTAAATGAACCCGAGGAGGATGCTCAGGAGCCGGTGAGCCTTATTTCTTAGTGGCAACTCAACTGTACGCACGCGTGTAGCTTACAAGGCTAAAACTTTACGTTTTTCATTTGTAAAATAACGCACAGTGCAATTTTAGAGTATTTCTAACACCCAGAGTTTTGTCTTTTCCCGGGACTCGTTATCTAAGCTGCGTTCAAGGCACCGCTGCGTTCTGCAACGTTGTTGCACCTAAACGACCATGTTTGCGCCGCGCTGTCGACGCTTTCTAAATCCAGCTTCTGCACATCTCTTACCTGCTCTGTGTTTTGCTCAATACACTAAAATTGTGCAGAAGAAGCAGAAGCCCTGTGCGGGGACGCCGGAGCCCCGCAGCCCGTCTCCCTCGCCTCTGTCCCCGGACCAGCTGGACCGGATCGCCCGCAACAAGAGGGCGGCACTGGAGAAGCTCGCCGCGGCTCAGACACCGCCGGGGTTCGGAGAGAGCTGGAGGAAGGGACTGTCGGCGGAGTTCGGCAAAGCCTACTTCAAACAAGTGAGAGGAGGAGTCTGCGCAGTGCACACGGTGGCTGTGTTGTTGTTGTTGTTGTTAAATAACTTTTATTTCTCTGCTGCAGCTCATGAACTTTGTCAGCGAGGAGAGGAAACGCTGCACCGTGTTCCCTCCTGCTGAGCAAGTCTTCACCTGGACTCAGGTGTGCGACATCCGAGATGTGAGTTCAACAACACGGTGCTCTGTTCTCGTCCACAAATCACATGTAAAGCATTTAAAACTGGCCACATGTCTGCGTGTATTACTGGAAGTTGTGGTTTTCAGTGCCAACAGTGGCACTAAAGGTGTTGATAGAATGCACTGACACTCAGGCCAAGAGGTCATGACCCCTTAAATCAGAGCCCCTGTTTGAAGTGAGAGCTTTAGTTTTTAGAAAGTATCTGAGTACAGTGAACTGGAGGGCGAAACTGGTGACAGTTTTCCTCCTCATCCTGTAATATTTCCTCAGTATTTGCCAATAACAAGTCTGATCTTGTATTCTTTCAG